CACACCACACACACACACACACACACACACACTCTCTCTCTCTTTCTCTCTCTCTCTTAAAGCTCAGGGACAGTGCCCAGGCCCTGAGTTCAAGCCCAGGACCAGTACACACACACACACACACACACACACTCTCTCTCTCTCTCTCACACACACACACACATGAAACAAAGATACATCTGAATATACACAAGAACAAAAACCCTATTATCTGTTTTTTATTCTTTTTTTTCAGAACTGAGGACTGAACTCAGGGCCTTGCATATACTAGTCAAGCACTCTAACTACCACCGCTCCCAGTCCTTGTGTGTGGTTTCACTGAAATAGGATCTTGCTATATATAGCTATATATAGCCTAAGCTAGCCTGGAACTTGCAATCCTCCTACCTTAGCTTTTGTTTTTGGTGCTGGTCCTGGGACTTCAGCTCAGGGTTCGGGGCTGTTCCTAAGCTATTTTTGCTCAAGGCTAATACTACCACTTAAGCCACAGTTCCATTTCTGGCTTTTTGCTGGCTAATTAGAGTTACGAGTTTCACAGACTTACCTTGCCACCTGGCTTTGTTAAATTATAAGCATGTAAGCATTCAACAATTCAACATTTAACACAGATTTATTACATCTACTCTGTGCCAAGCATTGTAGAACATGGCTGTGATGATTATAATTAGTGATGTATAGGGTAAAGAATTTGTAGTTTGATAATTAAATAAGTAATTACAAACTAGTATGTATGTGTGCATTCTACTAACGACTACTTACCAAATACACACACACACACACACAAAATTCACGAGATACAAACCCTAACATTCTATAATATCAGTAACTCAGTCAACTGTCAGAAAATAAGCATTTTTATATATCTACAACTTACAGGAAATTTTGTCCTTATTGCAAGAATGAGTACAACAGGATGTCACGTACCCTGAAGATATCTGACCTCTGCATTAATGCCATCAGGGAGAGGTATCCTCCATAGGACCAGCCATGGATGCCCACGCGATCTAAGTCAATGAAATCATATTGAGAGGCGAGATATTGGAGTCCTTCCACTTGATCGTCGATTTCTATTTGACCCTGTCCAAAAAAAAAAAAAAAAAAAGGAACACTTTACTGGTTCTAATGCTTAAAAAGTTCCATAAAAATGCCTTTAGAGTATATAAATATTTTTACTAAAATACTTGTAGGGTTTTTTTTTCCCAGATTATATTCATAGCCAAATGTGATGGTACATGCCTGTAATCCCAGCTCTCAGGAGGTGGAGGCAGAAGGCTCACAGTTGAAACCAGCCTGGGCTATATAATATTGCAAGACCCTGTCTCAAAAAAACAAAAAAAAAAACAAACCCCAAAGCCAGGCACCTATGGCTCACACTAGCTACTCAGGAGGCTGAGATCTGAGCATCATGGTTCAAAACTAGCCCAGCAGGAAAATCTTAACTCCAATTAATCACCAAAAGCTGAAAGTGTAGACATGACTCAAAAAAGCTCAAGGATTGCCAGGCGCTGGTGGCTCATGCCTGTAATTCTAGCTACACAGGAGGCTGAAATCTGAGGATCGCGGTTCAAAGCCAACCCGGGCAGGAGAGACCGTGAGACTCCTATCTCCAATAAACCACCAGAAGAGCAGAAGTGGCGCTGTAGCTCAAGTGGTAGAGCGCTTGCCTTGAGCTGAAGAGCTGAGGGACAGCGCCCAGGCCCAGAGTTCAAGCCCCATGACCGACCAAAAAAAAAGCTCAAGGACAGCACCAGACCTAGAGTTCAAGCCCTAGGACCATACACAAAAGAAAAACAAAATCAAAAACAAACAATCCCACCCCCAACTCCAAAACAAAACAAAACAAAACAAAACAAAACGAGAAAGTAAAAACACAAACAGGTTAGAATTCACTACCTTAAAATTAGAATTCATTAGTTATTAAAAAAAAAAAAAAGTGGTGGTGGGGCTGGGAAGGTGGTTTAGTGGTAGAGTGCTTGCCTAGCATGCATGAAGCCCTGGATTTGATTCCTCAGTACCACATACACAGAAAAAGCTGGAAGTGGAGCTGTGGCTCAAGTGGTAGAGCTACAGAGGGCTCAGGGTCAGAGCCTAGCCCCGCCCCCCCCCAAAAAAAAATCTGTTTAAAGATAGAAGCCCGTTTCTATTGCTAGTCTGTCCTGGAGTTTAGTTACCATTTAGTCCTCAAGCTTTCTTATTGCTCCACAAACTTTCCCTTACTGTTGAGCTCCCATTTCTATTTGTTCTGTTGTCTGCCAAGAGTTCAGCATCTTTCTTGTAACAAGCCTTCCTATTTAGAAAAACAAGAACTTAGCCCCCTTAAGAGACAAGATCGTTTCATGTCTCCTGAAGTAAAGCAGAAGGGATCATTCCTGAGGCCCTCAACTTCCTATTTCCCCAACACACTCCATTGAGAAATGGAGCCTACCGTTTTTTCCAGGCCCTATTATGCCCTGCTTGCTATCACTACCACTCTGTCTAGTGACTTGGCCTGCCAGTGCACACAATCTTGCTTCACTGAGCCAAAAACAAAAATGAAAACGACAACAAAAAACTTACATGAGAATACAATAAAAGGTCAAAGAACTGGCCCCATGTCTCACTCAGCATGTCCAATACACTGGCAAACACAGTGACTGCCTTACTGTGTGCAAAAGGAACATCAGATTCTCATCATTTCCCAAAGCAGCAGAAAGGACATGGGGCATCTCTAAAAGGTAGCATTTAAAGCTTCCTGCAGAGAGAAAGAGGCTTGTCACAAGGAAGGCGCTAACCAGAAGGTTTCCCTCTTCACAGAGAACAGAACAAACCTCCATTACGTATTGCTCACAGCTTATGGGATGCTGAAAACTAAATGGGGCTGCCATTTGCCTAAGGTGGACACACAGAGGGTGCTGCTCTGAAAAGTGGCTTGATCTCAGCTCCCCAAAGTTCTGTCAGGCCTGAGCTAGCTTAGTGTGCTTCTTCTAGTAGCATCTTCCCTAACACACACACACACACACACGCACACGCACATACACATACACACATACACACACACACACACACCTCTCTCAGTTTCTCTCTCTCCCACCTTTCTCCAGAATTTCACACTAAACAATGCACCAGGAAATATAAATGTCTGTAGGAGACAAAGATCTTATGCTCACACACCATTTTGTATTTAAAGGCGCCTTCAAATTTAAGCCCTCGGTGACAGGATCCCCGGTTGTCTATCACCACAACCACATAACCCAGAGAGGCGAGTGTATTCAAGCGGAAATACTTGACTCCTTTGAACCGATTATTCACCAGCTGCACCTGAAGGAGAAAACATACTTTCAGTGACATTTACTATACAGCAGCCCATGAACTACAGAGAGGCAAGGCTTGGCAAGAAGTAGAAAGCTTAAAGCTTTCACATTATTTGCCTTTAAAATTTATCTTTTAAGCTGCGCGCCGGTGGCACATGCCTGTAATCCTAGCTAGTGAGGAGGCTGAGATTTGAGGATCACGGTTCAAAGCTGGCCTGGGTAGAAAAGTCCGTGAGACTCATATCTCCAATAAACCACTAGAAAGCCAGAAGTAGTGCTGTGGCTCAAGTGGTAGAGCACTTGCCTTGAGCTGAAGAGCGCAGGGACAGTGCCCAGGCCCAGAGTTCAAGCCCCAAGACAGACAGACAAACACACACACACACACACACCTTTTTTTTTTTAATTTCATGAAGTGGACTTTACGTGAAAAGTTAGTGTAAAAAAACATTCAAGGGGCTGGGAAGGTGGCTCAGTGGTAGAGCGCTTGCCTTGCATGCATGAGGCCCTGGGTTTGATTCCTCAGCACCACATAAGCAGAAAAAGAAAAAAACCGGAAGTGGCTCAAGTGGTAGAGTGCTAGCCTTGAGCTGAAGAGCTGAGGGACAGTGCCTAGGCCCAGAGTTCAGGACCCACGACCGGACTCCCCCCCTCTTCCCCCCCCAAAAATTCAAATTCATAAAATTTAAATAAGACAGTAAAATTATACCTTGTAGCTATAGCAATCACAAATAAGGTAAAGGCTAAATTATTGCCTAATCAAACACTCTTTTATTTTATTTATTTATTTTTGTCAGTCCTGGGGCTTGAACTCTAGGCCTGGTTGCTGTCCTTGAGCTCTTTTGTTCAAAGCTAGAGCTCTACCACTTGGAGCAACAGCGCCACTTCTGGTTTTCTGGTGGTTAAGTGGAGATAAAAGTCTCATGGTCTTTCCTGCCTGGCTAGCTTGACCTATGATCCTCAGGTCTCAGCCTCCTGAGTAGTTAGGATTACAGCTGTGAGCCACCAGGGCCTGGCTTGATTTTAAAATTTTCAGAGTAGGGTGCTGGTGGCTCAGGCCTGTAATCCTAGCTACTCAGGAGGCTGAGATCTGAGAACGATGGTTCAAAGCCAGCCTGGGCAGGAAGCTCCATGAGACTCTTATCTACAACAAACCACCAAAAAACCAGAAGTGGCATTGTGACTCAAGTGGTAGAGCGCTCGCCTTGAGCTGAAGGGCTGAGGGACAGCACCCAGGCCCAGAGTTCAAGCCCCATGACCGACAAAAAAATAATATAAAATAAAATCAAAGAAATTGAATTTAATACTTTTATAATTTGTCTAGGTGACTATAATAGAAATATAAATCATGTTTTGTCTGTAAGAGCACTTAATAACAGTTAAGTGATTTAACTTAATTGCAGGACCAGCATCCTTGAGATTTGATCACTTATGTGATTATTTGACTTGCACGTTGTTTTTTGTATAACTAGGTATACATTTTCAGACAATATTGGTATAATTATAAGGGATATTAATGAGGCTAAGAGTGTCATTATCAACACACTAATTATATTCTATGTTAATTAAGGGCTCAATGGAAAATGTATAATTAAGGGTAAAAGTTTACTTAGTGTTGGTACTAGGGCTTGGAATCCAGTGTTTATGCTCTTGGTCAGCTTTTTTTGCTCATGATTGGTGCTCTACCACTTAAGCCACAGATCCATTTTGGCTTTTTGCTGGTTAAGTGGAGAGAAGAACCTCTTGGATTTGTCTGCCTGTGTTATCTTTGAACCTCAATCTTCCTAACTAGGATCATAGGCATGAACCACACACAGGTGGACTGGCTTAAGCATCAAGCATCTTATTTTAAATTTTTAGTTATTTATTTTTTTGTCAGTCATGGGGCTTGAACTCTGGGCCTGAGTGCTGTCCCTCAGCTCTTCAGATGAAGGCTAACATTCTACCACTAGAGCCACAGTACCACTTCCTGTTTTCTGGTGGTTTATTGGAGATAAGAGTTTCAAGGCCTTTCCTGCCTGGGCTGGTTTTGAACTGCAATCCTCAGATCTCAGATCCTGAGCAGCTAGGATGACAGGACTGAGCAACTGGTGCCTAGCTAAAATTTTACTTATTTTTTGGGGGGTATGGAAGACCAAGTAGAAGGCAAGAGTAAAAGTTTAAAAAAACTGATTAAGGCAGGGCACTGGTGGCTCATGCCTGTAATTCTAGCTATTCAGGAGGCTGAGATCTGAGGATCACAGTTTGAAGTGAGTCTGGGCAGAAAAATTCCCTTAAGACTCTTTGTTTGTTGGTCCTTGGTCCTGGGGCTTGAAATCTGGGTCTGGGTGCTGTCCCTAAGCTCTTCAGCTCAAGGCTAGTGCTCTACCACTTGAGCCACATTGCCACTTCTGGTTTTCTGGTGGTTTATTGGAGATAAGAGTCTCAGGGAGGGGCTGGGAAGGTGGCTCAATGGTAGAGTGCTTGCCTTGCATGCTCAAGGCCTGGGTTCGATTCCTCAGCACCACATAAGCAAAAAGGAAAAAAGCCGGAAGTGGCTTATAAAATTATAAAAGTATTAAATTCAATTTCTTTGATTTTATTTTATCTTATTTTTTTGTCGGTCATGGGGCTTGAACTCTGGGCCTGGGTGCTGTCCCTTAGCTCTTCAGCTCAAGGCTAGCACTCTACCACTTGAGTCACAATGCCACTTCTGGTTTTTTGGTGGTTTATTGTAGATAAGAGTCTCAGGGAGTTTCCTGCCTGAGCTGGCTTTGAACTGTGATCCTCAGATCTCAGCCTCCTGAGTAGCTAGGATTACAAGTGTGAGTCACCAATTCCTAGCTCCCTTGAGACTCTTACCTCCAATTAATCACTCGAAAGCCAGAAATGAGCTGTGGTTCTAAGTAGTAGAGCACTAACCTTGAGCAAAAGCACTCAGGGATAGGGCTCAGGCCCTGAGTTCAAGCCCCATGACTGACAAAAAAAAAATAATAACCAAATAAACAAAAAAAATCAACTAAGCAATTTATCTATCCAAAATAGTTGACTTCGTGTGCCAATGGCACAGTTAATAGCCAGATGCTAATACTTAATCCTGTAGTTATATAAAAATGTCTTTCCAGATTAAAAACTATTCCAATTTGCTTGAGAGATGTAGCCTTATAATAAAGGGGAAATTCACTAGGCTACTGAGCCTTTCTGAAATCTGACTCTTTTTATTTGCCAAGACATTTAATTATTTAATTTAATTTCCCAACAAGTTTCTCCACACAAACAGTAACATATTTACCTCCTAACATTAACAGTCCATTCCCACAACAGTTACACTCCTCACTGTGAAAGTAAGAAACTGACACCAATTTACCAATTAGCCATACAAACTGAAATACCTTCTGAACCTCTACACTGGATCGCAAAAGTTGGAAACAACATAAGCCAAACATATATGCATGTGTGTACATTGGGATGTATTTCTACACCTACCTGGGGACCGCCATATATGAATATTACAGTGGGGTATTTCTTTCCAGGTTGTAGGTCATGAGGTTTGTAGAGCATTCCATACAATGTGAATCCCGTAGTACTTTCAAAAGAGAAAATCTCAGGAGGGGTATAGTCGGGAAGAGGACCTAGAAGGAGGTAACACACAGTCTGAAAAGGAGTTGAATGGGAGTTCTATAAACAGAGCAAGGAAGGAAATATCAAAACCCAGACCTCCATACACAAACAACTGGCCTTCCTTTTCAGGTGAGATAACCAAGAATATTTATATTAGAGAAAAAAATAGGGCTGGGAAGGTGGCTCAGTGGTAGAGTATTTGCCTTGCATGCATGAGGCCCTGGGTTTGATTCCTTGGCACCACATAAGCAGAAAAAGACGGAAATAGCACTGTGGCTCAAGTGGTAGAGTACTAGCCTTGAGCTGAAGAGCCTGAGGGACAGCGCTCAGGCCCAGAGTTCAGGCCACATGACTGACAAAAAAGAAAAAAAGTAATCTAACAAACATTCATTTATCTACTGTGAATTTTAATAAAGTCAGGAGGAGGATAAAGAACACATACTTAGTTTGAGTTGTTAGTGCACATTAGTTTCTGATCATTAAGGAATAAGCCAAATAAGAAATAGCTACAAGTCTTTGGTCCAGCAAGGCTGCACCAGTCTCTTCTCAGCATGTGCGCAGTGGATGGCATTAAGGTCACAGCTGTGATCATGGTAACACTGAAAATTCTGCTCATGGACATTAGAACAGCCTCTGGTTATACATTTTTATTGATTGATTTTTTTTGGGTGCTGGTCCTGGGGCTTGAACTCAGGGCTGGGCCCTTTTCTCTGAGCTTTTGTGCTTAAGGATGAAATTCTACCACTTTAGTCACAGCTCCACTGTTAGCTTTTTTGATACTTAATTGGACATAAGAGTTTCACAGGCTTTCCTACTCGGCTGGCTTCAAACCTTGATCCTCAGATCTTAGCCACCTAAGTATCTAGGTTTACAGGTTTACCACTTACATGGGCTGCACTAACTTGAATCCCTTAGCAGATAAAAATAAGTTGAAAATACTTCACAAGAAAACAGATTTCCCTAAATCTGTTAAAACTGGGTTAAAATTGGTCCATACTTCATATTGAAGAAATCAAACATTAAAAAAGAATAGGTAGGGCTGGGAAGGTGGCTCAGTGGTAGAGCGCTTGCCTTGCATGCCTGAGGCCTTGGGTTCGATTCCTCAGCACCACATAAGCAAAAAGAAAAAAACCGGAAGTGGTGCTGTGGCTCAAGTGGTAGAGAGCTACCTTGAGCTGAAGAACTGAGGGACAGCGCCCAGGCCCAGAGTTCAGGCCCCATGACTGGACCAAAAAAAAAAAAAAAAGGTAATTTATAGTATTATTTACTCCAACAAGAGTAAGCAGTCAGTGAAAGTACTTCAAAACTGTAAAAAATCTGTTGGTGCCGGTGGCTTATGCCTGTAATCCTAGCTACTCAGGAAGTTGAGATCTAAGGATCATGGTTCAAAGCCAGCCTGCGCAGGAAAGTCTGTGAGACTTTTTTTTTGTTGGTCGTAGGATTTGAACTCTGGGCTTGAGCGCTGTCCCTGTGCTCTTCAGCTCAGGGTGAGTGCTCTACCACTTGAGCCACAGCACCACTTCTGATTTTCTAGTGGTTTATTGGAGATAAGAGTTTCACGGACTTTCCTGCCTGGGCTGGCTTCAAACCGCGATCCTCAGATCTCAGCCTCCTGAGTAGCTAGGATTACAGTGTGAGCCACCAGCACCCGGCTTCTGTGAGATTCTTATCTCCAATTAACCACCAGAAAACTGGAAATGGTGCTGTGGCTCAAGTGGTAGAGCACTTGCCCTCAGCTGAAGAGCTCAGGGACAGTGCTCAGACTCAGAGTTCAAGCCCCACGCCGACAAAACAAAAGGAAAAAAAAAACTAAAATATTTGTAATATTGCCCCTAAAGCTGCAGCCTCTCTGTTCAGTTCAGAGAAAATTGTTTTAATCTTATTTTCCACAAAGCTTTGCAGATCTGGTCTTTCATAGGCTGCTAGACAATGCTTTCAAATTCAATAGGTGGCACAAAAGGAGTGGCAGGACCAATTAGGAGCTCAGCTGCTTGGAAACAGGGCAGGGCTGGGAGGTGGGAAGACTGTCCTGGAGATGGGGACATAAGGTACCACAGGCTTAGGGTAGTGTGTTCTAATCTTACTTAAATCCAGACCAGGAAAAGGATTACCTGCAGAATCCAAAATGGTAGCCCAAAATTCCTTTGTTTTGCAAGCTGGGTCATTTGGGTCATTTGCAAGTTGCTCAGGACTCATCAGTTTGTAAAGGGACACACAGTGTGGATTCTTCTGGTTACTATATTTACTTATGAAGAAGTCACAATGCTAGAGAAAGGAGAAACAATTATGTATTTCTGCAGGGAAAAGTGAAAACAAGGCAACCTGCTGTTACCTCTGTACTAATGCAGAAGTGTAACTATGTTTGGTCTCATGCTTAATAGGCAGGCACTCTATACCACTTGCACCATTCTGCCAGACCCTTTTTACAGTATTGTCAAGATAGCATCATGCTTTATGCCCAGAATGGCCTGGACCGAGATCCTATTTGTACTTCTCTGTTGCTGGGATGATGGCTCATGTCACTGTGCCCATGTGCCCAGCTACTGGCTGAGGTAAAAATCTCAACTTTTTTTGTTGTTGTTGTTGTTGGTTATGGTTCAAGCTCCATAAGAGTTGGAGATAAGTTTCACAGACTTTCCTGCCTGGGCTGGCTTTGAACTGTTATCTTCAGATCTAAGCCTCTTGAATAGTAAGATTACAGGCGTGAGCCACCAGTGCCTGGCTTCTCAAGAACTGTTATGCTTGGATTAGCCTTGAAGTAGTTAGGATTAGTGACTTGAGTTAGACACCAGCTGAGTTTGACTATTTATGCAAGTATATAATGCTGAATAAAGGTTAAGTGTTTCAGACTTTTTTTTTTTTTCCTTTTTCAGTTCTGGGGCTTGAATTCAGGGCCTGGGCACTGTTCCTGAGCTTATTTTGCTCAAGGCTAGCCTCTACCACTTGAGCTACAGCATCACTGCTGGCTTCTTCTGTTTATGTGGTACTGAGGAATTGAACCCAGGGCTTCATGCATGCTAGACAAGCACTCTACCACTAAGCCACCTTCCCAGCCCCAGGTGAAGTGTTTCAAAGATTTCCTTTGGCATGTTTTCTACAGGCCAACATGACCAACTTTCACATCATCATCATTCACAAAGAGTACTTCATGATTAGAGGGTTTTTTTGGACAGGAGACCCTTTTCCAGCGGGGACTTAATACCTGACTGATACAGCAAGAGTGGGAGAAGCCACGGTCAGTCAGCCTCGTCACTTCTCCAGGATTTACATAACTGACCACGTATAGGTGATGCTCTAAAGGGGAATCTTTGGTGCCTTCAAAATACACCAGCTTTCTGACTTCATCAACCTGGATCTGCCAAAATAACAACAACAGCACCATTAGTACTAGTAAGACATGGATAAGAGCAAAAACTCAATAATCCACCTCCAATTCTGTCATCAAGAGTCCTTTGACTTGGGCATCTTTCATTTTTATTTGCTATTGAAGCTAATGAACTAGAGTTAGTTTTGTTTATGACTTAGAGTTAACAACAGATTCTGTCTAGAAGGAAAAATACAGCTGAGTTATATACTTTTTGGTTAGAAAGTGTGCTTCCCTTAAAAGGTAAGAATTAGCTGTGTGCCAGTGGCTCACACCTGTCATCCAAGGTGAGATGGTTGAGATCTGAGGGCCAAGATTTGAAACCTGGGCAGACAAATCTGAGAGGGAGGTTTTTTTTTTTTTTTAATGTTGTAGTGAAGAATCGAACCCAGGGCTTCATGCATGCTGGGCAAACACTCTACCACTAAGCCACATTCCCAGCCCCTGAGAGGAAGGTTGGTATCTCCACCTAGCCAGCAAAAAGTGGTAGAGCAAGAGCCTTAATAAGCAAAAAGGCTAAGCAAGAGCATGAAGGCCTAAATTCAAGCCCCAGTACTGCCCAGTCCACCTCTCCCTACTTATTTCCTTAAGAAGGGATTTTTTTGGGGGTGGGGCAGTCAAACCCAGGGTCTTATGCATATTAGGCACATGCTCTGCACTGGGCTGTGTCCTTAGCCCTGGATAAGATCAGTCAGCACCTCCAAAAACTGCACAGAAACTCAGGACTGAATTTACTTAATTCTGCTCCCAAATGACAGTAATAGTTCTTTTATTTTTCCTTAAAAAAAAAAAAAACTTTTTCAGTAGCTTACTCAAAGTTTAGTAAAATAAAAAAAACTTTTTATATAGTGAAGGTAATTTATACAGATTTTTATTTTAGTTTTTTGTGCTGAAACTGGGACTTGAACTCAGGGCCTGGACACTTCCTTGAGCTCTTTTGCTCAAGGCTAATACTCTACCATTCAAGGCACAGCTCACGTTTCACTTTTTTTTTTTTTTTTTGGTCAATGGAGGAGCTTGAACTCTGGGCCTGGGCGCTGTCCCTCAGCTCTTCAGCTCAAGGTTAGCACTCTACCACTTGAGCCACAACACCACTTCTGGTTTTCTGGTGGTTTATTGGAAATCAGAGTCTCACTGACTTTCGTGCCCGGGCTGGCTTTGAACCACGATCCTCAGCCTCCTGAGTAGTTAGGATTACAGGCGTGAGCCACCAGCACCTGGTTCACTTTTCGCTTTTTAGTAGTTAATTGGAGATAGTCAACTTGGGGGCTTCAAACTAAAATCCTTAGATCTCAGCCTCAGGAGTAACTAGGGTTATAGGTGCAGGTGGGAGCCACTCAGTTAAACTTCTTTAAATGTTTTCTTTTTTCAAGGAAAACTCTCTAACATCTTAGATACCTACATTGTTAGATATTTTAGATGCTTGAGTTGCTCTGCAAAAATATTCAAGAGGCCGGGCGCCGGTGGCTCATGTCTGTAATCCTAGCTACTCAGGAGGCTGAGTTCTGAGGATTGCAGTTCAAAGCCAGCCAGGGCACAAAAGTCTATGAGACTCTTATCTCCAATAAACCACTCAGAATACCAAAAGTGGCACTGTGGCTCAAGTGGTAGAGTGCGCCCCTTGAGCTGAAGCGCTCAAGCCCAGGCCCAGATTTTAAGCCCCACGACCAACAAAAAAAAAAAAATTCAAGATTTTTCACAGGTATGAAATAGTAGTTTTGAAGCAGCTGGCGATCAGGCCTTTCAAAGCTGAAATAATTAGTCAATTCCTTGTGCCCCATTTACAATTTCTGTTCAACAGGAGTTGATTGTCTTTGAGGGTGTATTGGACACACAGTTGAGTCCCATACTATAGTTTTTGACCACAGGGATGTGGATGTTTTGCTGCAGGCTGAGGACACACTATGAGGTTCCCTTTCTTTTTTTTAACTGTATTTTTTTTGTCTTTTCTTTTTTGGTACTGGGGATCGAACCCAGGACGTTGCGCTTGCTAGGCAAGCGCTTTGCCACTGAGCTACATCCCAGCCCTGAGGTTCCCTTTCAACATGGGGCATGAGATGAAGTCTCAAAGTTTTATCCAGTTATTGCTAATAGACTTTTTATTTTTTTGGTGCTGTTCCTGGGCTTGAACTCAGGGCCTGGGCACTGTTCCTGAGCTTTTTGTGTGCAAGGCTAATGCTTTACCACTTGAGCCACAGCTCTGCTTCTGGCTGTTTTGGTGAATACCTGGAGGTAAGAGTCTCATCGACTTTTCTGACCAGGATGGCCCCGAACTGTGATTCTCAGATCTCAACTTCCTGAGTATTACAGGTGTGAGCCACCAACACCCAGCTTGCCATTAGAAATTCTAAATAATGAATAATTTGAGGCTGAGTTCAATTCCCAGTACTGTTGGGGGATAAAAAAATCTTTGTGTGAGATCAAGGCCATTTGGAAAAGCAAAGAAGAAAAGGTAACTTAAAGACAAAACAAACAAGTAAGACTATAGGGAAGGAGAGAGCAAACACATGCCATACACAAACATGTCATAGGAGAACTGATGTGTATAGTGGTAAACTACTGGCCAAATAAGGCTGAAGGTCTCTGCTTGCTAGGTAGGTATTCTACCACTGAGCCATACTAGTAGGTTTTTTGCACAGATTATTTTTGAGATAGGATTTTATTTCTTACCTGGGGTTTGCTCAGCATTACCCTCTTACCATCATATTGTATGATACTTAAAATAATGCAAATTCTTGTTAGCAGAAACTAGAATTCCTGAATAAGACTTTTTTTTCCCCCTATGGTAGGACTAACATTCAAAGTTCCTAAACAGAAAAATAAATATATTGGGACATACAAACAAAAGGTCAGGTGAGTCTCTCACTGGAACTAGATTTTGAAAGTTACCTAAGATAGTCTAAAGATTTTACAACCCAAAATAAATGATTTCTGAAATAACCAGTATACTCAGTCTCTATCAACTTGAAATTCTATTTAGGACTTTATTAGATCCTGGTGGAATATGAAATATATAATTTAACATCCTTTCTCCATGTATAGAAAAGGTGGAGTTTTAATTTAAGAGATCTGGTGAAATGGACTGCCTAATTCAAAGTCAAGCAAAAGATACTAGGAAAAGCAATAAAAGAAACATGCATCCTAGCTACTCAGTAGGCTGAGATCTGAAGATTGCAATTTGAAGCTAGCCCAGGCAGAAAAAGTCTGAGTGACTCTTTTTTTTTTTTTTCTGAGTGACTCTTATCTCCAATCAATCACAGAAGTGGAACTGTGGCTCAAAGTGGTACAGTGATACCCTTAAGTAGAAATGCTCAGGACAGGGCACAGGCCCTGAGTTCAAGCCCCAAGACCACTAAAAACAAACAAACAAAAAACCCTCAAAAGATTTGTTACAGAAATCTACTTGCAATAGCCGGTGCCCAGTGGGTCACACCTGTAATCCTAGCTACTCAGGAGGCTGAGATCTGAGGATCACGGTTCGAAGCCAGCCCGGACAGGAAAATCTGTGAGATTTTTTTTTTTTTTTTTGGGTCCGGTTGTGGGGCCTGAACTCTGGGCCTGGGCTCTGTCCCTCAGCTTTTCAGCTCGAGGCTACCACTCTACCACTTGAGCCACAGCACCACTTCCGGCTTTTTTTCTTTTTGTTTATGTGGTGCTGAGGAATCGAACCCAGGGCCTCATGCATGCAAGGCAAGTGCTCTGCCACTGAGCCACCTTCCCAGCCCCCAATCTGTGAGATTCTTATCTCCAATAAACCACTCGACTGGAAGTGGTGCTGTGGCTCAAGCGGTAGAGTGTTCGCCTTGAGCTAAAGAGCCCAAAGACATCGCCCAAGCCCTGAGTTCAAGCCCCACGACTGACCAAAAAAAGAAAAAAAAAAAAGAAATCTACTTGCAGAAAGCAAAATCAGCGCATTTCCTTTCCCCTACCTTTTATCTAAGCTGTGTATTAATGCAAATCACTTTTTTTTTGATTGGTTGTGGGGCTTGAACTCTGGGCCTGAGCGTTGTCCCTCAGCTCTTCAGCTCAAGGTGAGTACTCTACCACTTCAGCTATAGCACCACTTCTGGTTTTCTGGTGGTTTACTGGAGATAAGAATTTCACGGACTTTCCTGGCTTTGAACTGCGATCCTCAGATCTCAGCCTCCCGAGTAGCTAGGATTACAGGCATGAGCCATTGGTGCCTGGCTTTTGGTTTTAGTCATTTCTTTTTTAGTATTGTGGATCAAACCCAGGACATTGCACTTGCTAGGCAAGCACTTTGCCACTAAGCTACATCCCAGCCCCTTAAAATATTACTATGATTATTAATTATTTGTAGTATTAGGGTTTGAACTCAAGGCTTTATGTTTTTAAGGCAGGTGGTGTAACACCTTAACAATACTCCCAATAAGCAACTGTATTTTTTTTTTTTTTTGGTCTTTTCTTTTTTGGGTACTGGGGATCAAACCCAGGACATTACACTTACTAGGCAAGCACTTTGCCACTGAGCTACATCCCAGCCCTATACCTGGACTATGATATTCCTATTATTTGATTCCTGTTAAAGCTAGGGTGTCAGGTGGGCACGATCAAGCTCAGGTTCTTTCACTGAAAAAGCTTCACAGACTTTTCTGCCTGGACTGGCCTGAAGCTGTGATACTCTTGATTCAGCCTCCCATTAGCTGAGATGACAGGTACACACCATTGTGCCCAACTACTGGTTGAGAAGGGGGTCTTTTTTTTTTCTTTCTATTTTATTGTTGTTTTAGAGGTGATACACAGTGGGGGTACCTTTACAGGTAGTGTCATCTGTTCCCTCATTCTCTCCCATTCCCTCCCTCCTGAGAAGAGTGTCCTCAGTTTTGCCCTGGCTGGCCTCAAAGTGCAACCCTCCTATTCTAGCCTCCTATTAGGATTACAGGTATGAGCCACCAGCAACTAGTATATTTTAAACTCTTTTCTTGACCAAACGTATCAGTAGAATAAAAGGACATACATTAGATCCATGCCGACCAAGAACTTCCCATTCACCACTGGTAATCGCTATTTCCTCTTTGATTGGACACTTGAAATCACCTAAAGATAAATACAATTACAGTTCAGTACTTTATGCCAACTAGAAGCAAATGAAACAATGTAGAATAGTTTTCTGTCTTCTCCAAAATGCTATTTTTAAAAAATATCAAAGTTATATTTAGGAAAATGAAAATGATTTGGAACTAAACAAATGTTAGTGGTATATGACATTGTAAAGTCCTACATGTCATGGCACTGTTTAAAGAAATGGCTCATTTAATGTTATGTCAATTAACTCTGATAAAAAAGGCTAGAGTGGAAAAAAAAAATCCAAGTATTCAGTGTTCAGAATGATAGAAGGACCTACACAGAAGATGTGAAAACAGCAAGTGAGGAAAAAAAATCTCAAAAGAACCTGCATTAAAAAAAAATTTTTTTTTTTTGGCCAGTCCTGAGGCTCAAATTCAGGGCCTGGATGCTGTCTCTGAGCTTCTTTTGCTCAAGGCTAGCACTCTAACTCTTGAGCCACAGAGCTACTTCTGGCTTTTTCTGTTTATATGGTACTTCAGAATCTAACCCAGGGCTTTGTGCATGCTAGGCAAGCACTCTACCACTAAGTCACATTCCTAGCCCAGAATCTGCATTTTTAATCTTTGGGTAGACAAAGAGGCTTTACAGAGATGACAGGCATTTTTTCTAGAGATACAACAATCTATTTAAAAACCAAAGAAGAAAAAAAAAAAACAATGAACACAATTGGTCTTCATTTGTCAAAAAAGGAAGCTAAGTAAGTTTTACTAAATTAAATGCCAACATGCCCTGTCAGTCAAGATTCTGTTTTGAGGAAGTGAAATAAAAAAATTTTCCCTAGCTGGTTAAATGTGTGGCAGTAAGGGTTGTAATAAAGCTGAAGATGCAAAAATTAAACTTAGTAATTTAAACTATATGGATTGAAAATAAAGCATTGTTTAATACATTTATGATAACAAGTATATATTACCAGTTTCCATTATATCTACTTAAGGAAGATAAAAGGAGGCAGCAGAAGGGATGTAAAATGGACACACACACACACACACACACACACAAATACAAAAGAAAAAAGATCCAGGTGCATGTGCCTCATACCTGTAATCCTAGCTACTCAGGAGGCTGAGATCTGAAGAGCACAGTTCAAAGCCAGCCTGGGCAGGAAAGTCCCTGAGACTCTTATCTCCAATAAACCAATAGAAAACCAGAAGTGGCGCTGTGCTCGCCTTGAGCTGAAGAGAGCAGGAACAGCACCCAAGCCCAGAGTTCAAGCCCCAACATCAACCAAAAAGAAAAAAAAGTCTGGCACTCTACTACTTGAGCCACATGCCACTTCCGGCTTTTTCTGTATATGTGGTACTGAGGAATCAAACCCAGGGTTTCATGCATGCTAGGCAAGCACTCTAACACTAAGCCACATTCCCAGCCTTTGGATATAGAATTTTAAATTACCATTTTACATTATTATTATATGGTTCTTCAATCAAGTTTTATCATTAAACTTGCTGAAATTCCTTAAGTGAACATAATTTCTGACAACAGAGGAACATGAAAGAGAAATTTCAAACTCAGGGCTAATCTAAGGCTCTAAGGAAAGAAATTCCCCATCTTGGATGTACAAGATCTTGTCTACTGGAAAACATTTACACTAAGGAAAGACCCAGATAGTATTTACTTGTTAGTCTTAAGATGTAACTTAGGGCTGGGAATGTGGCTTAGTGGTAGAGTGCTTGCCTAGAATGCATGAAGCCTTGGGCTTGATCCCTCAGTACCATAAAAACAGAAAAAGCTGGAAGTAGCGCTGTGGCTCAAGTGGCAGAGTGCTAGCCTTGAGCCAAAGAAGCTCAGGGGCAGCGCCTATGCTCTAAGTTCAAGCCCCAGGACTGTCCCCTCCCCCCCAAAAAGTAATTCCACTGCTTCCCAAATATAAGTAGCAATAAAAAAATGCAATTAATAAGTAGGAAAAGAACTAGAACAAACAATTCTCTAAAAAAGATATAGAAGCTGGTGTTGGAGGCTCACACCTGTAATCCTAGCTGCTCAGGAGGCTGAGATCTGAGGATTGCAGTTCAAAGCCAGCCCGGGCAGGAAAGTCCATGAGGCTTTTATCTCCAATTAGCCACCAGAAAATGGGAAGTGGTGCTGTGGCTCAAGTGGTAGAATGCTCACCTTGAGCTGAAGAGCTCAGGCCCAGATTTCAAGCCCCATGACCAAGGACCAACCAAAAAAAAAAAAAAAAAGAAGATACACAAATCTGAATATTGTGGTTTTAAACCAGCCTGTGCAGGAAAGTCCATAAGATTCTTATCTCCAATTAACCACCAGAAAACTGGAAGTGGCACTATGACTCAAGGTGGTAGAGCACTAGCCTTGAGCTCAAAGACAGTGCCCAGATCAAGCCCCATGACCACCCCCCAAAAAAGATATACAAATGGCCAATAAGCACAACAATAATCATTAAAGAAAACAATATTAGGATAAATATTAGTAAAAAAACAGAAGTAACAAGTATTATTGAGAATATAAGTATTATTGAGCTGGATAGAGTGGTACACATTGGAATCCCAGCCCTTGGGAGGCTGAGACAAGAGGACTGACTGCAAGTTCAAGATCAACCTGGGTTACACAGAGAGTTTGAGGTTGGCTTGGACTGTATAGTGAGATACTATCTCAAAAAACAAAAAAGTAAGGCTAGGCATGGTGGCTCACCTCTGTAATCCTAGCTACTTGGGAGATGGAGATTAGGAAGCTCACAGTTTGAGGCTAGCAACAAAAAAAAGCTAGAACCCCATGTCAATCAATAAACTGAGTATGGTAGCTTGCTTGTGCCTATGGTCCCAACTACACAGAAGACCATAAGTTAGTAGGATCAAGATCTGAGGCCTACCCCTAGCAAAAAAAAAAAAAGAGATCCTACATGAAAAATAACTAAAGCCAGCCAGATACTGTTGGCTTATCTGTAATCCCAGCTGTACAGGAGGCTGAGATCTGAAGATCATGGTTCAAAGCCAGCCCATGGAAGTAAAGTCTATGAGACTCTTAACTCTAATTAACCATCAAAAAGCTGGAACTGGAGCTGTGGCTCAGGTGGTAGAGTACCACCCTTGAGCAAAAAACTTTAGGGTCAGCACTCAGGCCCTAAGTTCAAGCCCCAGAACCAGCACAAAAAACACCACTACCAAAAACAAAAAAAAACCTAAAGTAAAAAGGACTGAGGTTGTTTCAAGCAGTGTAGTGCTACTCATAAACCCTACACCCTGAGTTCAACTGCAGTATTAAAATGAAATGAAATAAAATACTATATAAACACCGTTTGTACACCGCTTGCACAAGCAGGACACCGCTGATGGGAAGGTACAGTGGTGTAACCATTACCACTGGTGTATAATGGTATAATTACTATGTAAAACAGTGTGACAGCTCCTCAAAAAGTTAAAACACAGAATTACCATATGATGTGGAAATTCCACTTCTGGGAATATACCAACAGAACTGAAAGTCTGGACAGAAATGGGTATTTATACAGCCATGCTCATAGCAACATTGTTTACAACAGCTAAAAGGTAGCAGCAACCCAAGTGTTCCCTGATAAATATTGAAGAAAACATGGTACATATATACAATGGAATATTAACCAGCCTTATAAAGAGAATTCAACACATAAATATAATAATAATAAGAGAATTCAGAAGGGGTGACAATGTCCAAAAAAAAGAAATGTACTTATTACCTGACTTATAAAATGATAACCCACGGGCTGGGAAGGTGGCTCAGTGGTAGGGTGCTTGCCTTGTATGCATGAGGCCCTGGGTTTGAGTCTCAACACCACATAAGCAGAAAAAGCCGGAAGTGGTGCTGTGGTTCAAGTGGTAGAGTGCTAGCCTTGAACTGAAGAGCTCAGGGACAGTCCAGGCTTAGGGTTCAAGCCCCACGACCGACAATAATAAATAGATAAATAAATAAATATCCTGAAGCTAGGCGCTGGTGGCTTACGCCTGTAATTCTAGCTAGAATTCAGAAGGCTGAGATATGAGGATCACCTCTCAAAGCCAGCCCAGGTAGGAAAGTCCGTGAGACGCTTATCTCCAATAAAACATCAGAAAACTGAAGTGGCACTGTGGCTTGAACACTAGCCTTGAGCTGAAGAGCTGAGGGACAGCACCAGGCCCAGAGTTCAAGCCCCATGACCACCCCCCCAAAAAAAAGATAACCTGTGTACAGCATCTTAATAATAACAATAAGATTAGATTTTTTTTCTTGAAAAAAGGGGGAGTTGGGTGCCGGTGGCACATGCTTGTAATCCTGGCTACTCAGGAGGCTGAGATCTGAGCATCACAGTTGAAAGCCAGCCCAGGCAGACAGGAAAGTCTGAAATTAACTATAGAATGCTAGAAGTAGAGCAGTGGCTCATGTGGTAGAGTGCTAGCCTTGAACATTAAAAACTCAGGGAGAGGGGGGGAGAGAAAAAGAGAGAGAGAGAGAAAGAGAGAGAGATAGTTCAGACAAATGCTACAAATAGATGAATTTTGAAGATATGTTACAGAAGATATGTTACCCCATTAAATGAGGTATCCTAAGTAGTTAAAACTAGAGACAGAAAGAACTTGCCAGGAGATGAGGAGTTACTATTTAGAAATTTCACTTCTGGAAGATTGAAAATATTGAGAGATGGATGGTGGTGATGGCCACACAAAAATATTAATGTCACTATGTATACCAAACGATACCCTAAAATAATAGTCATAAAAAGAATTTTAGTCAGGCACTGGTGGCTCACACTTGTAATCCTAACCATTCAGGAGGCTGAGATTATGAGATAGGGTTTGAAGCCAGCCCAAGCAAAAAGTCCATAAGACTTTTATCTCCAATTAACCACCAGAAAAACGGAGCACTTGCCTTGAGCTGAAGAGCTCAGGGATAGTGTTCAGGCCCAGAGTTCAAGCCCCATGACCAACAAAAAGAGAATAATTTTATTTTATGTGTGTGTGTGTTTCACCACAATTTCTAAAAAAGGCTATGTTCAGTTTAAATTACAAGTGGCAGTTAACTGCAGAACTTCTCATGAAGTATTTCTATTCTAAAATGTAGGTATTATTAAAGTAGAAAACCATAACTTTTTTTGAACTCAGGGCCAGGATGCTGTCCCTGAACTTTTTTGCTCAAAGCTAATGCTCTATCACTTGAGCCACAACTCTACTTCTGACCTTTTTGTGGCTAACTGTAGATAAGTTTAATGAACTTTCCTGTCTGGGCTGGTGTCAGATCTTCAGATCTCAGCCTCATGAATAGCTAGGATTATTAGGTATAAGCCATAGGTGTCCAGCTGTAACTCAGCTTTAAAAGATCTGGGAAAGGGGCTGGGAAGGTGGCTCAGTGGTAGAGCGCTTGCCTTGCATGCCTGAAGCCCTGGGTTCGATTCCTCAGTACCACATAAGCAAAAAGAAAAAAAGCCGGAAGTGGCGCTGTGGCTCAAGTGGTAGAGCGATGTCCCTCAGCTCTTCAGCTCAGGGCAAGTGCTCTACCATTTGAGCTACAGTACCACTTCCAGTTTTCTGGTGGTTTATTGGGGATAAAGAGTTTCATGGACTTACCTGCTGGGCTGGCTCTGAACTGAAATCCTCAGATCTCAGCCTCCTGAGTAGCTAGGATTACAAGGCATGAGCCACTGGCGCCTGGCTTTTTTTTTTTATTTTTTATTTTTGTCAGTCGTGGGGCTTGAACTCTGGGCCTGGGGGCTGACCTGAGCTCTACAGCTCAAGATGAGCACTTTACCACTTGAGCTACAGAGCCACTTCCGGTTTTCTGGTGGTTTATTGGAGATAGGAGTCTCACAGACTTCCCTGCCTGGACTGGTTTTGAACCATGGTCCTCAGATCTCAGCCTCCTAAGTAGCTAGGATTACAAGTTTGAGTCACCAGTGCCCAGTTCTCAAATCTACTATTAATAACTTATTATACATCCATCAAGAACTTTGCTTGGTGGTTTTATATGTGCATATGTTTATATTTTAACATATATATTAAGGTTGATAAAGCAAGTTGTAAAGCTTACAAGGAATGCAATAGAGGCATTATATTTTCCTTTCCCTCCCAACCAACTGTACCCAAGAGTTTTTTATTTTAAAAAAATTAAAAAAGGATTCTTACTTGGGGCAGGCAGCCCACCACTGGACCGTTTATATCTGCTCTCCTTTAAAATGGATGTGATTTTGTACAAGTGACGGAAACCTGTTTTGCATTCAGAGGCAAAAATAAACTCAATTTCATCCTCGTGAGTTTGGGGGAAAACATGAAAGATGTCGTGAATCTGTAAAATGAACAGCTTCATTTACTACACATTTTAATGAAAATGCTACAGAAATAATACAATTAACCTACAAACAAAAAATAACTGCTAACTGTACTTTGAAATGTAAGTAACTGTCAGTGGTATAAGAGTATAATACTTACAATAATAGGTTTGGCCTGGGCCTTTTATATTTATTTTACTTTAATCAAATCTTATCCATTGAAAGATAAATGTTTCCAAATGCAAAAGGAAAATATGACCAAAAGTTTTTTTCTTACTCATCATCTCTACAATCTTTGCAACATGGAACAAAGTTTAATATATAAATCTTATTACTAAACAATGAAAAGCATTTTTTACTTCTATTTTTCAAAGAGAAATATTCTAACAGCTGAGGGAAAACAGATGTTCATCTGTTTTAGGTGAATCTAAGAAGCCTACATTCAGTTAGAAAGTAAACTGGCTTCATTTGTACCTCGTTTTAAGTTTTCATGCTAGAATGGAAAATTAAAAATGAAACTTAAAATGGGTGCATTTTGGTTCAGTCTGCCAAATGAAAATGACTAAATTTTTTTTGGGGGGGTCCAAGACTGGGGCATGAACTCACTATCTGATACTTGCTTTTTCTGATTGGCTTGTACTCTACCCCCCCAGACCCAATTCTCAGAAGCAAGAGGCTGTATGTTCACTACCCGACTAGCTTAGGAACAAATCTGCTTTTCCAGTGAGGTATTACTCTTTGGCATCAAGTTGGAACAATCTTTCCAATTTTAAAATTCCAATGTTAAAACTAAGGAAACAAAATTCACAACTCCTTTGAACTTAATAAAAAAAAAATCTAAACATTTGTCTTATCATCCCGAGAACATCTTTAGCAAAGCACAGGAAACTAAAAATGCATACATACATTGATCCATATGTCTGTTGTTTCTTCATAAATAATCAGTGGCGTCACAGAGTCAGGCACTGACTCAATGAGTCTCTGTCTTCCCATGGCATCATCTTCTACTGGGATAAATAACTCAGGGGAGATCAACACTATCTGTAGGCGAGTTTGGGAACGATCTAGTAGGATGGACCAGGCACTATTTAACATATAAAGAGAAATACCAGAAGAAAGCTCTCAGAAAATGGATAATCCTTTATTTTCTACTTTGGCACCTATCAATTACTTATATACTTATATTAGCTGTTACTAAACTATTACAAACAGCCAATTAAAAATACTTGGAGCTGAGTGCTGGTAGCTCATGCCTGTAATCCAAGAGGCTGAGATCTGACGGTCGTGGTTCAAAGGCAGCAAAAGGTTCCTGTGAGACTCTTTATCAACTCAAAAAAATTATCAACTCAAAAACTGGAAGTGAAGCTGTGGCTCAAGGTGATTGAGAGCTAGCCTTGAGCTGAAGAGCTCAGGGACAGCTCAGCTCCCAGGCCCACAGTTCAAGCCCCATAAGAAGCACCACCACTACCACCACCACCAACAACAACAAAGAGCTCAGGAAAGAACAAAAAGCTCAGGGACAGTGTTCAGGCCTTAAGTTCAAGGTCCCCCCCCCAAAACAAACAAACAAACACAATTTGTCAAAAAGGTGCAGTTTAAATTACAAGTGGCAGTTAACTACAGAACTTCACATAGTGTTTCTATTTTAAAATGTAGATACTATTTTTTTCTTTTTTTTATTGTGAAAATATTGTACAGAGGGGTTACAATTATATGGGCAAGATACTGAGTACACTTCTTATCAAGCATTGTAGCCTCCTCCTTTGTTTCCCCTTCCCATCCCTTCCTATCCTCCCCACCCCAACAAAGTTGTAAAGTTCGTTTTCAACATAACGACTTGTACATCTCATTGTTGCAATGGGTCCACCTGTATCCCTATTTAAACGATTTAAAATGTAGATATCATTAAAGTAGAAAGCTATAACTGTTTTTGAACTCTGGGCCAGGATGCTGTCCCTGAGCTTTTTGCTCAAATCCAGTGCTCTATCACTTAAGCCAGTCGCCAGTGGTTCACACCTGTAATCCTTGCTACTCAGGAGGCTGAGATCTGAGGATCACTATCAAAGCCAGCAGGGGCAGTGATGTCCATGAGACACTCATCTCCAATAAATAGTCAGAAGTAGAGCTGTGGCTCAAGTAGTAAAGCGTTAGAATTGAGCAAAAGCCAAAAAAACCTACAAACCCCCAAAACAAAAACATTAGCTGGGTGCTAGTGGCTCACACAGGTAATCCTAGCTACTCAGAAGGCTGAGATCTGAGGGGACTGAGATTTAAAGCCAGCCTTGGAAGCATAGTCACTTGACTTTATGTCCAATTAACCACCAAAAAATGTGTATCTGTGGCTCAAGTGGTAGAGTGCTAGTCTTGAGCATGAAAGTTCAGGGCAGTGCCTAAGCTCTGAGTTCAAGCCACAGGACCAGCGCACACACACACACAAAAAGGTAGACAGCCAGCTGAGGAAGCAAGTCATTTCACAGACACTGAAACTGCATGTATTAATCTTTGAATAAGGATTCTACAAGTATTTCTACCTCAGTTATACTACATTTAAGGGCTGGGAATGTGGCTTAGTGGTGGAATGCTTAGCATGCATGAGGCCCTTGGTACCACATAAACAAAAACAATTACATTTATGTGTGAACCTTTAGTCATAGAACTTAACCACAAATATCATTGTGAGTCCTAATTAAACACAATAGATTTATGTTTATAAGACAATCTTTTTTTTTTTTGTTTTTGTTAGTCGTGTGGCCTGAACTCTGGGCCTGGGTCCTTCCCCTGAGCACTTCAGCCACAGTGCCACTTCCTGCTTTTTCTGCTTATGTGGCACTGAGGAATCTAACCCAGGGCCTCATACATACAAGGCAAGCACGCTACCACTGAGCCACCCCTTCTCAGCCCAATATTACAATCTTAGTACAACTCAGTTCAGGAAAAATCCCCAAAGCAGAAACAACTGTGCTGCACATTTACATGTGAATGTAGTTTAGCTACCACTGTACTGCAAATCCAAAAACATGGACATTTCTAAAGACCTGGAATACAAAGTTGTTATAAGAAGTAATAATTTAACATACGCACTATTTTCCCTCTGGAGTCCATCCAGCTCTGGCAATATATTCCACTCCTTCAAACAGAATCTCAAAAGGTTGAATTAGTTCTTTATCTATGATGTCTATAATCTATGAAGAGAAAAAAGGATCTTGTCATAGAGGTTGAAAAAAATAATTAGCTCACTAGTTTACTTCTATCATCCGTGACAGCACAATACTTTTTTCAGACTTACGTATTTAAAAGTGAACAAATACAAAGTTAAACCAGAAGGAAACCATGAGTTACCTTGATTGGGGCTTCTTTTGCCTAAGAAAATTCTACTATAGAATTAGCACACTGATCAGGCACTGGTGGTCCACACTGAGATTTGAGGATCACAGTTAGAAACCAGCCTAGGCAGGAAAGTCTCTGAGACACTTATCTTCAATTATTCACCAAAAAGCTGCAAATGGAGGTATGGTTCATGTGGTAGACCAATCAGTCTTAGACAAAAAAGTTAAGGGACGATACCCAGGCCCTGAGTTCAAGCTCTAGTACCAACTTAAAAGAAAATGGGTAGCCAGGTGGTGGTGGCTCACGCCTGTAGTCCTAGCTACTGCCAGGCTGGGCAGGAAAGTCCATGAGACTCTTATCTCCAATTAACCACCAGAAAATCAGAAGTGGTGCTGTGCAGGTGGTAGAGCACCTGCCTTGGAAGAGCTCAGGGACAGCACCTAGGCCCCAAGTTCAAGCCCCATACCCCCCTCCCCAAAAAGGGTGAAGGGCTGGGAAGTTGGCTCAGTGGTAGAATGCTTGCCTTGCATGCATGAGGCCCTGGGTTCGATTCCTCAGCACCACATAAGCAAAAAGAAAAAAGCTGGAAGTGGCG